GTGCTTCTCCGAAAAAAGGTCCATCTATAAATATAATTTTATTTATTTTTATTTTTTAAATTTTAGTTCTTTTAAGTTAAAATTCTCCATCTCTCTAGGTATTATTTTTTGAATGGTGTTAACCTGCTGAAGTTTTGCCAGAATGGTGCCTGGCTGCGTCTGGGTTCGGTGAACTCGAAGACCTGGGACTGGGATATGCCATCTGTCACCATGTATTGTCCCTGATTTAATGGATCCTGGGGTGGTGGGTAGGCTGGAGGAACCGACTTGGAGTAGCTCACACCTGCATCGATGATTGGGGGGAAAAAGAAACAGATCAGTCAAAGTGCAATTGGGTCAATCGTCTTTCTTCGTCATGCTATCACCTCTTATCATAACCAGGGTCCCAAACAACAGGGAGCGTGCTGGAGATGGCAAATCTACGGAGGAACGCAGCAGCTGCCTGACCTCGCGGCTCAAAGGCTACCGATGCTAGACCGTGAGTAGAAGATTTGGAAACGATCCATTACTTCGGTCATGGCAGAGTTTTGCCAGCCCTGATGGAAAAGTCCTGGGTGACCTAAGGAGACACAGCCACGCGCCCAGCCCTGCGTGGGATCCATCGGGGCGGGTGAAGGCAAACAACCGCATCCTTCAACCCGCGCGCAGATTTAACGCCTGCTGGTTCCAAGCTGGTTTTCACCCTCCCTCCCAGCCGTGCCTGGAAAGCGGTTTTGTCCCAACACACCCCAGTGACCAGCCCCAAGCAGTGTGACCCCGAGGAGCACTCGGCACCGGTTCCCACGCCGGACCGGAGCCGAGCTGCTCTGGAGGAAGCGCTACGCTGCAGGACCCGCGTCGCTCTGCGCTGGTCTGCCTAGACAAAGGGCAACTCGGTATTTTCTTTAGGAAAGTTTGTAGGACTTTTCCATAGGGTTCATTTTAAATGGACCAGTCTGGCTGCAGCCAAGCCCAGCTGATTCTGCTCAACCCAAACTGGCAGCAATGGGCGGACTGGCAAGGCTGCACTCCCAGGTTCTAACGGGTAATTCCCCCATCCACGAGTCCCTGCTCCCGTGCAGGACCGGGGTGGGGGGCTGCTCCCCTTCCAGCCTCCCCGTGGAAAGGGAGAGCTTTGGCAAGCTAGGACCTACGCAACCCAGCGTAACGGACGGTGTAGACCGGGCGGCTCTGGGCGAGTGAAGTGGATGCGAAGGGAGGCACGTCACCACCAAAGCGGAGACTACAGGGAACAACAACAGAGCTACTTCTGCATCTCCTTCCCCCAACACCGCTGAGGGGGGTGACCCCTCCTTCCAGCCTCGGGGCAGCGCGATGGGCTGGGAACCACAACTCCAGAGAAGGGCAGGAGGGAGGGAGGAGCAGGGCTGGGCGGCAGGTTGCTGTAAGCTCGGGCCATCTCTGGATCCCCTCTGCTGCAGGCAGAGCTGCTCCTCCTTCTACGGGGAGGGCAGCCCGGCCGCATCGCGGGTGGCAAGCTTCGCAAGGGCCATCCCGAGGCCACGGCCCCCCCTGGTTTTAAGCGCAGGAGCGAGGCGACTCTACCCAAGCAGACCAGTGTCCTCGTCTGGAAAGCGGGATGGCATCACCCACCTACCTCACAGGAGGGTTGTGAAGCTAAATTAATTAATGTTTGTAAAACACTTTGAGATCCTCGGCTGGGAAGGTGCTAGAGAAGGCAAAATACGGTGATTAGCACCCAGGTACCACGGCAAGGTGTGTCACAGAAATGCCACTCTGCATTCAGCGGTTCCTACCCCCACACAGACACACGCACAGGGCAGCGCCGGCCGGCGCGGGCACAGGAGGGCTGCACACAGTCAGGTACTCACAGACAAAGGGAAAAGCCTCCCCAAGGGCGCTCACGGAGCTCCTCTGACAGCTTTACATGTTACTGTATTACCATTCACCACCTCTTTTAGGTACTGAGGCTTTGGTATAGCTTCAGGAAAGAGAATTAATTCACTTCCCCTCGCAACAGAATTTACCGACCAAGGGTGGTTAAAATCCTCCAAAGGTTCAGCCCAAATGGAGATATCACCTGGACTATGTCGAACGGATCTCTCCTTAACAGCAAATACCGTCAAACCGTGCAGCTCTGCCCACCGCAGGGAGCAGCCGAGACCTTTCCTTACGGTGGACAGAAAACACTCCGTGATTCAGGCTTATTAACCTTTAACCAACTCATCACAGCTGAGGCTGGGAGCTGCATCTTCTGCCTGGGAAGGGGTTTGGATCCGTGAGTGATCCAAAGGACCAGGAATGATGTCAAGGGCAAACAAGCCTTGTGCCACCACGATTCCTAACTAATGCTCTGCAGCACACAGCAGCAGCTTTAGAGTCACAGCTCCTAAGGGACACACAGCGATTGTTCCCAGCTTTGGAAGACCTTTAAACCCCGCTGTTTTGCTGGGCTTGAACGGCCCCGTGCCTTTTGCACCCTGTGGCTGCGGAGCAGCCGTCAGCCTCACGACGCATCAAGTGTGCCACACTGGGCTGGGCGCTTCACTGGCCCCAAACCCGTCTGTGGAGGGTGAACTGATGGATTTTAATCATGACACCAAAATACTACGAAATCTCCTGGATCAGCAAAACGTTAGCACTTGGAAGGCTGAAGAAGCAGCGAAAGGACAGTCTGGCTGAAGTGCCCTGATGGTGATGGAGTTACACCGCAAAGAACATCATCCAGAGTCTGTCTTCTCCAAAAGAGAAAAAAGCAGACTCCCCTGGCCAGATCCCTAGCAAACCCATTCGGTTCTTTCCTAAAATAGACTTTTTGATCCAAATTCCTGACAAATGTCTATCCTTGCTTGAAACATACCCACGCCCACACTGCCGCTGCCCTCCGTAAAGCAGCTCAGCCCCAAAGTCATTGGTGTGGCCCTGCTCAGGGATCGAGGCTATTGGCAGGAACATCTAAGCTGGATGAGCACCAACAGCTCCTGGCTGGTTCTGCTTGGATAAGCAGCTGAAAGTTTGCATATTTACTGAATTTATCAGATGGCCTCCATGGCCTGAACGATCAAGACTGCGGATCTCGACGGCATGCGTAATGAGCGTGTGTTGTGGGCGTGCAAATGAAACCACCGGTGCGCTGGCAAGCCAGGCTGACCATTCCGGAGAACACAACTGTGAAACGGTGATACAGCGCTTTGCCACAGCGTGGGGTGCCCCAAGAAAGGCTTTTTTGTGTTTTTGTGGACATACCCACATTCTTGACAAGGTGGAACTGGGAGGGGCGGGGGGCAGGAGGAAGAGTCATCTCATCTGCACATCTTCAGATCCTGAGAAAGAACAATTTTGGGGAAAACTATTGACAGGTTGGTATTTTTATGTTCTGCTCTGAAGTGGTTTGCTCCCTCATCAGAACTTGGGGCTGTTGTGCAAAAAATTGTCTCTTGAGGGAATTTTTTTTTTTTTTTTAATATGCAAAGCCATAAATCCACTGCAATTCAACAGCAAGAAACAAGCAAAGCCCCCAACGCAATGCTGGGCTGCTTGGCGAACAGAATTCAACGCGCAAAGGGAAAGCATCGGTAGATAAGCAATGATTTCTGGACACAGCTGCCGCGCTGCCTTCCCAAGGCGGAAGAAAGCAGCGATACGCCAACGACCAGCCTTGGAGCTCCTTCTGCTGGTTCATGCATCATTCTGCACTGGAGCAGAAGAGATACAAAGGCTGCAGCTGCGTCGCGAGATCGTTCACAGCAGGGTGGGGGCTGTGGAAATCTGTTCAGAATGAGCAAAAGCAAACTCCAGGATTTGTCATTTGGTGAGACAAAAGCGGTAGAGAGATGCTGTCAGATGAAATCATGGTTTTTTTTTAGTACTCGGCAACGTCACTTGGAATCTTTTGGATTTCTCAGCTCTGAAGAATACAATTAAAAAGATTTAACTGTCTCTTTTTTCCCTTCTGGCTCTTTTTTCAAAGTGTCTCTTCTATTACAGGCTCCAGCACGCCCGCAGGAGCACTGGAAGCTGCAGGAGCATGGTCACAGGCAGGAATCCACATGGACACGTGCGGACAGACCCAGGGACAGGAGCGGGACAGCCACAGCGACACTGCACCTCTCCAGAGTTCGTACCAAACAGACACAGAACACACCACATTTGCCTCTAGAGCCATGGAGACATGCCTCACACGCTGGTTATTCCATCCTCAACCTTTAAGATTTCGCTCAGGAGCTATTTCCTCGGTTTTTCTTCTACCTAGCTGTCTAGGGACGGTGCTGTGCGTTAGCCAGAGTTGAGGGGAGACAACATCACCCCCTGCTCTCTCCAGTGCCCGAGCGGAGGCTGCAGGAGAGGACGCGGTGCTGCGCTGGGGAACCTTCCACCTCCCCCTGCTCCCAACAGCAGCTGAGCCAACTGGTGTCCTTCGGGAGCCATCCTCAAAAACCCCATCAGTTCCGTGTCCTCGTGAATATCGTAACCCAAACCCAACAGGGGCAGCCGGGAACATACCTCAGGATCACTAATTGGTGTAGGGTTAATTCCTCCTGCTACAGCGACAAGCGAGGAGCACTAAGGGCTGACGGGGTCCAGCCCTTGGCCTTGCTTCAGCACGTTTCCAGAGGATCTCAAAGCCCTTCGCCACCGTTTACCTGCTTGCTGCTACGTTTAGAGTTAGCAGCTGCGCGGGGTCTGACCTCAGCCCTGAGCCCCGGTTGCAGACGGCGTTAGCCACGGCTCTGTGCACAGCCTGGGCGGAGGCAGACGTCCCCAGGGATGGCACCGGTGAGGAGAACACCCCTCAGCTCCCTTTTCTAACCACTGGCCTCACTTCTCTCATCTGGAGGAAGAGGGAAAAGGCGAACTGCAGCTTGAGAAATGCAGCAGAGGAAAAGAGTGATCCTGAGTCTTGGCTATTCCACAGCCAGCCACGTAACCTGACCTTCCTGAGGCTATTTATCAAGTCTGTCACTGCAACCTGATGTCATTAGACTAGACAGTGAGCTAACGATTCATCGTGTGGAAAGCAAAAGCCAAGGGAGGCAAGATAGAATAAACGATGCTAGGGCTTTACCCATCAAAGTGAAATCAAAACTCCTGTATGTATATAGCCTCCCTCTCCTCCAGCATTCTGTACGCTGGGAGCAAAGAGCACTCCATCCGTTTCACTGCCAGGAAGAGATCAGTCCCTCCATCGCTGCCCTGCAATGCAACTCTGCCCCTCACAAACACCTCACCAAACAGCAAGCGCAGGAGAACCTGGGCTGACAGACTTATTTCAGCTGGGATCTCAACAGGACACTGATGTCAACACCCTGGCTCCTCAAACGA